CCTCGCCCAGATCATTGATAAAGAGATTAAATAAAGATATAAAATATTTCTTCACCTCCTGTTTTCTCCAGACAGCAATGATACCTCTTTCCTGCTCTTTTTCTTCCCTGTCCCTTCTGCACATCTTGCGGGGAGATCATCCTCCCTTTTCTCCTCAAGAGTGGTTGAAATGTGGCCGCTCATTAAGGTCCATTGCCCCAAATTCTGTGGCTGACTTTCTATCTGGCAATTTTAATCAGCCCAGCAGCTAGTTCTTTCGATGTACAGTAGAGACAATTTTCTGTCTTAGTGGTATGTTAAGTGCTAGGTATTCCATCCAAATAATGAAATAAAATTTCTGCCTCTTCTGCAAATGTGCCCCAAAGAGTAAGTGGTTTTTTTTCTGTGTTTGTTCGTTCGTTCTTTCTTTCTTTCTTTCTTCCTTTCTTTCTCTCTGATCTTTATGACATGAAGATTGGGTCCTCCAAGGCTTTATTTATGCTAAAACCTGGAAGAAACCCAGGGACACCTATGCCAGTAGAGGGAAAACGAGAATCCCACAAAACATTTTTGGAGAGATCTAAAAAAAAGGCATCTTATCTTGCATCTCTGCTTGGATAATCCATGGGTTAGATGGGTTACATGGGTTAGAGGGTGAGGATGGAATTTGGAGACCTATTTTTCTATAACAGAAGTGACAAGAAACAAACCAGAGAGGGACCGCTTATTTTTACAGTAAGAAAACAAGGATTTAGATGACTTTTGTGGTGTTTCACAGAAAGGTCGCTGCTAATGGCAGCCAGCTGAAATGAAAGGCCGTGTGCCCCTTTCTTAATTGCCATTTTTCTGTTCAATAGTGGAAATAATGACCTAGTTGACTTGCAGCAAGGAGCTAAGCTTGGTGCCAGCACTAGCTTCTTGCTAAAACCCAGTTTTCCTCCACCTTCTTGTTTAACCAGGAGACAGGACAACATTTTCATAAAAAGCATCTTCCTTTTTGGGCGTTTCTATCTTTTCTACAAAGCTCCCTCAAAGAGCAGCGAGGTTCAGAGTAAAGGAAGCATTTTGATAATGATATTCAATCTCACATTCATCCAATGCATCAGCTGGAGATACATTCAATTCTGGCTTGAAACCTTTTTCAATTTCCTCCCGTATGTTTGTAACATCAGAAGGCTCTGGCTCCTGCTCAGGCCTTCGAAATTCCCCAAACTGTTTACCGAGACGTCCCTAAATTGGAAATCAGTAGCACATTGCACATGTCTGTTCAGGGCTACGTGCTCGTTCCCATCTGTCTTGCTGTCTTTGCTCAGGATTTCAAGTGCTTTGCTCCCTCAAGGCTGCCGTCGGCAGCTGTGGCTGCGCCCGCTCCTTCCTTCCTTCTCGATATAGAAACCATGAAAAAGTTGTGCTGAAGCACAGACTGACTGATTTTTTTCCCCCCGCAACCAGAGAGATGCTAAACAGATGCAGAAAATGCAGAATAAAAGGAAAAAACAGTCAGTGTGAGATATCCCACAATAGATAAGTCTACTCGGCGATCAAAATCATTCTCATATTTTTTACAATAAGAAAAGAAAGGATTTCAATGACTTGTGATGTTTCATAGGCTATCATACAGAAAGAGTGAAAGAAGACTGGTGGGTGAGGAACAAGTCTCAAAACAGAAGGTTTACTGGATTCTTTCACCGGCAAGCGAGCTGGGTTTGACAAAGCAGTGCAAGAGCTGCCAAGCATAAGAAAGCATGAGAAAATTGGTGAAATGAACTCAATGTTCAGTGACTCCTTCATCTAACACCTGACAAACCTCTCTGCTTCACAACAGTCTTTGAATGTCCCCAGCACCAAATTACATAGACTTATTCTTTATATTGTTTAAATCCTAAAGCGATTCCTTCTTTGAAGCTTTCTTCCCACATGGAAAATATCCATTTTCAGGAACATCCTCAGTACATTCTTAAGGCTGAATATCTTTTTGGATGCTTTCCTGAGTGATTCACTCTGAAAGGCCATAAATGAGGCTATATTTTATATATAACCCAAGATAACCACAGGATAACACATATCCTCCAACAGAGCTGTGTGGATGGATACAGCTAAATCCATCTAGCCGTATTTTTAATAAATTCAAGCACCTAAATGAAAAGCATAGATAATGAGCATGGTGCTACATCAGGATCTATAGTGAATCACCCGCCCTGCACCCCAGAGCCAGGATGAGTCCATCAGCCAGCCATGGTGTACTGGGGTCCCTCCTTGTCTTGAGCATCTCTAGCAGCTGAGAGGTGTTGGAACACCAGGCAGTGTTTGCTTCCTTGGGTACGTGGGTCCTCTGGAGACTTCGGTCTCACTGCACCGCAACACATAGATACATAGGTGACCGCTGAGATGACACCATCCCTACCACCATCACCACCTGTACTAACCTGGGAGCAATTTTCTCCTGGCCATTGCTGCTGCCCGATGGCTTTCATATTCCACAAAAGCAAAACCCCGGTTTTTGGTTTTATCAGCCGCGCTAGGGTAGACAATGACATCCACGACTCCGTCTGTGACTTTCTTCATCTCTGCTAAAATTTCCTCCCTCTTCTTCGTTTTGGGGATCCCTCCCACAAACAGGCGGCAGTTGTCCACGCTGGCACAGACTCCGAGGAGACGCCCATTTCTGTGTATAAACAACATTGTTGGTTTGTTGGGAGTCAGGATCAGCTCTCAAAGAGAGGAAAAGATTAAAATAACCCCCCCGCTCTTGTCCCAAAACACAAAGTCAAACACAAGGCCTCTCGCTCCTGTGGCATGTATTGCTTGGGACATTCACATAGTCTTAGTCAACGCAAGAGCTAACGTGAAGGTTGCCATTTTGGTGAATTTGACATCCAAGTAAGGCAGCGCAATTGAAAGGAAGGATCTGAGATCACAGCAAAACCAAAGCCAAATTTTGCCTTTGCTTCCTGGGTTTCTCCCTTTTGCTATTATTTGCAAAAAACAGCTGCTACCAGACACGGTCACAGCAGTGACTTTTGTGTTGCCACCAGTATACGCCAGGATTTGTTGTGTCCACCAGTGACTTGTAGCTTCCCAGTCACCATTGGACCTCATGGCTGAGGTTTTGGGGAAACAAAATCCCTTGTCATGGGGAGACATCGTTTGAGGGCTTACTGAAGCCAACTGTTTCACAGATCCCAAAGTAAAAATTTCCTTACACACACTTTGCTCACCTCTTCGTGGTCCAAGCACCTCTTGCAGGTCTTGAGAAGTTAAAAACTTCTTTAGCGGGGTCTTTGGAACAAGGGAAGTAAGCAGAGGAGGTGGAGGTAGACAAACTCTGATCTTTAAAACCCTCCAGCCTCTGATACAAACCATGTGTCCCTTGTGACCTGCTCATCCTTGGGGTTGCTAATAAAGCAATTCACAACTCTTCTTTTCTTTTTATTTTAAGTGAAAGCCATAAAATTGCCAGAATGGTTTATCTCTAAATGCTTCTAAGCAAAGGCGTCTACTCATCCCACTTTGAACGGGGGAAAAAAAACGTTAAATGTGGTTGAAATCAAAACAAAACATCTTGATGGGCCCATATGTTGTTGATTTCTGGGTGTTTTGTTCCCAATTTTTAGTCACAAACATGAGGGCTTTTTCTGTTCCTATCTATTAGGAAATGTCACTGGTTTGCCCATTGGTTTCCATCCTATTTCACCATTTTTTGCAATCGCTCTGTCTCCCAGAACATATCTGCAGTATAGCTCACGAGAGAGACTGTGGATAGGAATAAATCAACAAAAAACAGCCCAGAGGGGAACATGAAATAAACAGCAACAGTTAGGCAAAAATGAATTTGATCCAAAGCAAAATATTTTTTTCCAATGTTCTGGTAGATTTTTCTTTTGGTAAGGAAGAAATTTCCTGCAAAAGATTTTGGCTCTGATGAGTCCTTTGTTCTATGACTGCAGGGCGAGATAAGAAGTGATTTCCTCTTAAAGCTTAGGTCTCTAAACAACCTTCCTCCAGGCTGCAGGGAAAAATACACCTTGCATAAAAAAATAGATTACTATACATGCTTTAAAGTTGACGTGAAGGTGTTTGCCACACTTACCTGATTTCATAATTATTGAGTTGCTTTATTGCGTTCTTCGCCTCCTGTTTATTCGAGAAGGTCACAAAGGCATAGCCCCTGTTGTTGCCATTAAAGTCCATCATCATCCTCATTTCGTAGATTTTGCCAATCTGCAAATAGAAAGAAAAAGGGTTGTCAGTGAGATGGGGGATGTTTAAGCAAGACCGGGTGCTTCCTTGACTATATCACGTCAGAGCTCCACCAGTGGTCTGGGCCAAACCATCTCCAGTTCAGCCTTGACATGCAGCTTTGATCATCACTAACCTCTGCAATACAACTACCCGCCATAAAGTCTTACTTTTTCACACAGTGGTATAAGTTCATCTTCAAAGAGGTCTCGGGGAAGTTTCCCAATAAAGATCTCGCACCCCCTCTCCGGCGGAGGGCCATCCCAGCCGGGTGGTGGGCCTCCGTATTTCCTCTGCCCATTTTCCTGCCATGGAGAAAAATAAAAGAGTGGTTTAGATAGAGATTTTAAATGTGGATGTAATCAACCCCTTCCCAGGGAATGACGCTTTAGGCACGCTCTGTTACCAGTGGGCTGGAGGCAGATGCCCTCCTTCTCTCCAAGGAGCAACTCTTCATCAGAGAGAACGTAGTGTGCATTGGCTGCCTCACTGCCACGTCTGTACTGAAAGGCTTTGGCGTCCCAGTTAGTACGCTGGTGATGTACTGGAAAATGGTCTGGTTTGTACCTAGCTGAGTTTTGCTAAGGGACAGGCATGAGTGCATGCTCTGCAACTCGCTTGCTACTTCAGATGTCCAAGATGGACACAGTCAAATACCTCCTTGGAAAATGTAGGTCTTTTTCTTTTTTTTTTTCTTTTTTTTTTCTTTTTTTTTTTCTTTTCTTTTTTTTTTTTTTCTATTTTTGGCTCCCTGATCATTTCTGTAGTTATTTCCCACTCTGGGATTATTCCAGGCAAGTGAATGCCTGTACGGCTGACTTAAGAGGAAGGCCAAAAGCCTGTAAGCAAACAGGGATCCTTGCAGGAAAATAAGAATATACCACAAGCTCTTTCAGTTTTCCTGAGCCTACAACAGGTCCTGAATTATCCATGCTCATTCCTGTTTTGCAAATGTTTTCAGCTTAATGATGGAGTCATGGGGACATTTGAATTTATGAATGAATTCTTATAGCAAATCTAACAGGAAGACCATGATGTTTCAGGCTATTTTTCTTCCCCCAGTTTGGCTGAACGGAGCACGTCGCCGGTGTGGGATTTTTCCATCTCTTGAGACATTTATTAGGTGAAGTCAAAAAGCGATGGCTGTACTTTGTGTCGTTGCGGTCATCTGCGATCTTCACTGGCGTGCCAGCTGGGAGAAGTTGATCACCTGGAGGAATGCTCAGCTCATCGATAATGGTCTGAAAATGGCCAGAGGAGTCTTACTGTCCCACTTTAAGCCAAGCGAGAGACAATCAAACAGTTAATTTTTTTCACTTTGACAACGTATGTGGGAGCTGGTGTGTGAGGAGGTGCAGCAAGATATAAAGCCTTCTCTCAGTCTGCAGTGGCTTCCTTTGTGGCATGAAGGCAGCATCTCAACAATCTCATCTTGGCAAAGTGTCTGGAGGGAAGGAGGACTTTATTGTCCCCTTCACAAAGAGGAGTGACCCTGGCATGCATTGAGGAAGAAGGTGTTTGGCTGCAGGGATAGATAGGTTGGAAGAAAAGCCCAAAGAGACATGGAAAAGGAAATTAGGCGAAAAAAAATTATAAAGTTGTAAGCTTGGAATGGAAAAGGTAGGGAGAAAGAAGATGTTGAGGGGGGTGAAAGGCTGGGGGTTGAAATCTGTGGTTTAGGAATGAGCTATAGCCAGATGTGACAGCATGAAAACTGAAGACCAGGATAAAGCAAGCGACAGTAAACGTAAGACATAGAGAAGTTATGTATCTTCTGGGCCAGGTACAGCAGAAAGCCTCCTCAAGGGCAACGAACCCGGCTGCTGGCCTGGTTCTGGGATGCACTCAGGATTGAGGGCTACAGGAAAAAGCTTTTTCCCAGGAGTCTCAGTTTTTGTTTTGGGCTGTTGTGCCCTCTAGTGCTACACAAAGCAAGGCAAAGTTCAAGGCAGCCACCTGCCTAAAATTCACAGTTTTCAGTCACTTCTTCCAGGATGCAAGGTCAGTCATATCAGTGCCCAATGCTTTCGAGAGATTAGGTTGTTTTGGTTGTGCTAACTGAGAAAGACTTCTTCAGATGGCTTTTGAAGGACATGCCCAGTCTCCACCTGCTCTAATCTGAGGAGGCTTTGCACTTGGAGACCTTGAGGACTAAACTGGGAGCTAACCTTTGGTGTCCGGGCAGGTGAGGCACCTGCCTCACATGCACTTGTATGTGTGCAAGGATCTGTACAAAAGGCAGATCTGGTGGTGATGCGTTGGACTTCCTATGGCCAAGTCTGGACCTATGCTCTTCTGAAACTTTGCCTAGCGGGCTTTCTTTGCTACACTACCACTGCACCCACGGCTTGGAGACAGCAATCCCAACCTTTCCCAACATCTAGCGGTGCTCAGGGTTTTTCTCCCACCCTCATCATAATTTGGCATCAGGCAAAGAATCCCTGGAGGAATAAGATCCTGCTTCATAAAGACAGCATCTATTACGCGTAGTTACGTGCAGCACATACGTTAGAGGAAAAACAGAGAGAAGAAGAATGAGCAAAGAGCGCTTCGCGTGTAGAGATTAGCTGCTCAAGCCCCCAGTGCAACGCATCACTTCAGGATGAAGCCAGACACTGAGCACAAAAGGACGTGACTGAGTTCCTACCTGGATCAAATTATATCCCGTTCGCTGAATTAATGCACGGAGGGCGGCTTCTTTCTGTGTGCCGGTCAATCCATCCCCGGATTTGTGATTTGATTCCATTGTGAGTGATTATCAGCAAAAAATCAGGTTAATTAGGGGTGCTCACTGCAATCAAATTTAAGATAAATTAAATAAATTAATATGGCTAGGAGGAGAAAGTCCACCCTCCTGAGAAAGTTAACAGGATCATTCTTCCTAAATCAGTCATTTTGAGATAAAAACAAAATACCACAAACCGTGGAAAAAACCAAAACCAACCCCCCTGACACGTTGCATGAAAATAAACAGCATTGAAACCCATAGTCAGATTTTTAGGCAGTACTCCAGCGAGACGCAGAGGGATACAGTAACATGCGGGCGCACGTGTCTTAGGAGGGCAACACAGGTAAGATGCCTAATCCCGCGCTGACTACACGGCGGCGAGCGCTTCGTGCCGTTGCATCCACTGACGCTGGGAAGGGAACCTCGTGCAAGCCGTGTCTG